TGGTCCACACTTTCTTGTACATATAGATTTCGTCATGTGTTAAAAGTAACTGTTGCACGGTGTAATAATATTTTTGTTAAAAACTTTTTAATGTATGTATTAATGCTTACTAAATTAAATATATCTCAATTATTTTACCACATAGAATTCCAAACTTCAACAATTTCATAAACATTGGAATAAGCTTTTACTGAATGTAAATTTTGTATTTATTGGACTCACCTTTGCCCTGTCTTAGTCCTTTAAACTTAGGTCTCAAATATGTAAATATTTGTATTTAACAATATAGTATATAACTTGACAAAAAAACCCTTCTAATGACTAAACATATCTTCTCAGGAATGTCTCTGAAATAAAATTATAACCACCAGGACCCGCCGAGATAGGAATTTGTCATTTTAAAACAAGTTAGAGTGCTATATTCGGCTGAGCCGAATCTTAAATACCCTCCACCAGCTACTTTTATATTAATACTTTTCTAATTGATCAAATATTTGTAGAAATAAGTCTTCTCATGTCTTAAATATAAAAGTCCCAAGATTTAAACAGCTTAGATCTATTACAATTCCAAGATTTATTGAACATTATAAACGCCATTTTCTTTTATATTTTTATAGTGCTTAGCAATATTTAATAATTTGCATGTATGCATGTGTGTGAAAGATTTAAGGATTTTGAAAATACATACATATATATAATTTTGTTCTACACAAATTGATAATGCAAATAGTTAAATAAGGTTAAAGCGCTTTTAAGGGCAGTTCCTAGTATGGGAGATAAGATCAATTATAGACCGATCGTAAAAAATTCTTTAAAGGTATTTTCAGACTACAATACTGAGTATTAACACACTTCAAATTAAAAATATTATGAAAATAATTCGCATTTTCAAAAAATCAATCTGAAAAATACATTTTATGTTTACACTATAACATTTGTAATATTTTTTATCCAATTTTCAATTATTTATGCACTTTTCGTTCTTATTTTTAATGTATTTTACACTTTTTGTTTGTTTTTTATTGTATTTATAAAATACATACCGAATACGTTTGAAAATAAAAAGGTTTTTAATTGTTTTAAAAAATTTATGAATACCGACCGTATGCCAAAAAAATCAGTAATATTTTTGAAAATCAAATTACAAATTATATTTAGACTAGTAAATTGTATTATGATACAAATATTTTTGACAAGTATTAATACTCAGTATTGTAGTCTGAAAATACCTTAAGCAAAATTTCTGTACATAAAAGCTATATTTCAGTCAAATTTTGTATCTATATCGTAATTTAGTATAGCTTTATTTGGTAATGAGTAATGTGCGTTTAAGAGATTTTCGTAAAAGGAGCTTGTATGGGAGCTATTACCAATTGTGTATATAAAGACAAAATTTCAAAATTCTGTATCTATATCATTATTTGGTAATGAATATTGTTCATCTAAGTGATTTTCTGGAGGGGGCCTAGTATGAGAGCTATGACCAAATATGGACCGATCGGGATCGAGTAATATTTCTATGCATATGGGCAATACTTATACCAAATTTTATATGGATATCTTAATTTAGTAATGAGTTATGCGCGTTTAAGTGATTTTCGGGAGGGGACCTTGTATGGGAGCTATGACCAATTATGGACCGATCGGAAAAAACTTTCAGAGTAATATTTCTATGCATATGAGTAATACTTATTTATACCAAATTTTATATGGATATCTTAATTTAGTAATGAGTTATGCGCGTTTAAGTGATTTTCGGGAGGGGACCTTGTATGGGAGCTATGACCAATTATGGACCGATCGGAAAAAACTTTCACAGTAATATTTCTATGCATATGGGCAATACTTATACCAAATTTTATATGGATATCTTAATTTAGTAATGAGTTATGCGCGTTTAAGTGATTTTCGGAAGGGGACCTTGTATGGGAGCTATGACCAATTATGGACCGATCGGGAAAAAAACTTTCACAGTAACATTTCTGTGCATATGAGTAATACTTACACCAAATTTTATATGGATATCTTAATTTAGTAATGAGCTATGCGCGTTTAAGTGATTTTCGGGAGGGGACCTTGTATGGGAGCTATGACCAATTATGAACCGATCGGGAAAAAATTTCCCAGTAACATTTCTGTGCATATGAGTAATACTTATTTATACCAAATTTTATATGGATATCTTAATTTAGTAATGAGCTATGCGCGTTTAAGTGATTTTCGGGAGGGAACCTTGTATGGGAGCTATGACCAATTATGGACCGATCGGGAAAAAATTTCTCAGTAACATTTCTGTGCATATGAGTAATACTTATACCAAATTTTATATGGATATCTTAATTTAGTAATGAGCTATGCGCGTTTAAGTGATTTTCGGGAGGGGACCTTGTATGGGAGCTATGTCCAATTATGGACCGATCCAGAAAATTTTTTCTCTGAATGAATTCTATTGACATAAGATTTTAATTTGTAAAATTTTGTGAAGATATCAACATTCTGACGGAAGTTATTAACAAAAACCCCATTTTCCGGGAATATGTACTTTTGTATGGGAGGTATATGAAATTGTGGACCGATTCTAGCAATTTTCAGCAGGAATTAAGCTCTTGTGTAGAAACGAATGTACGGTGATTTTCATGGAGTTACCTTGCATAGTTTTTGAGAAAATTACATCAGAATGTGTAAAAAATGCTTATTTTTTCGAGGTTGTTTTAAATTTTGATTCATAACTTTTCCCGGTGTGAACCGATTTTGCCCATTTTCAATACCAAACAACTTAGGAAAATGAAGAACATTTTGAGTGAATTTGGTTAAACTCTATTGCTTCGTTTTATCGTGAGCGTGTTTTACACAGACGGACATAGCTAAATCGACTCAGAATTTGATAAGGACCCAGAATATATATACTTTGTTGGGTCTCAGATGAATATTTCTTGGTGTTACACACGGAATGACAAAGTTATATATACCCTCTATCACCACTGATGGTGGTGGAGGGTATAACAAGTGCTATGTTCGACTGTGCCGAATCTTAAATACCCTCCACCATGTACAGGATATATAAATCATTAAATTTTAACGATTGATTTACATAAATTTACCTTAACATATCCTTCATTTTCATTATGCCTTCAAATATGTAAAACCATGTAAAACGGAACTAACACATAACACATAATGTACTAAATTTAACAAATGTTAAACTATGATAAATGTTTAACATAATTTGTATGTGTGTGAAAATGATGTATTATAAAACTTTTTATATCATTTTGTTTGTAAAAACTTGTGATCCGATTTTTACGATTTTCAACATTGATTATCCTAGTACCAAAATCTATATGTTGGACAAATCCATTGATCTGCTTTATGTAAAAAATGGACAAGACCCCAGCCTTATGTATAAGCATTTATCAACCAAAAACATAACTTCCAAAGAAGCGAATAAGAAGTAGAATTTACTCTATGGAAGTACTAAAAAAGGCCTGCAGAAGTGATGATTTTAACACAGACTTGTCATAGGAAGGATGTTCTTTTTATTTGATTCCAAATTCACTACTTCTGAAGTCATTCGCAGAAGTAATTTTTACGTTCTTCCTTTGGAAGTTATTTTGAATTGAAATTGTAGTATTATAGAATATCACTAATTTGACTTAAATAATATTAACATTATTAAGAGAAATAAACTCATTTAACACAGAAGCCCAAAAATAATATTTTTTTAACTCATAAAAATGTAAGACCAAATTAAACAGTTACGTTTTCTCACTGTGCGCATTTTTTTGATCGCGCGTTAGCAGTGAAAATCTTACATTTATGTAAAAATCGCCAGTTAGCAAACATAAGCAATAGTAATTAATGGTGCAGTGGTGCAGTTTGGTAAAATAAAACAACTTTTTAACTCACTTTTTAACTTAATTTATGGTTGGTATATGAAATTATGGTCCGATTTTCAGCATACTTGATCCTTGTATGTAAAAGGATATATCTGCAAGATTTTTTTTAGAGGTTGTGTGAAATTTTTACTCATATCTCAGAACCTATTGAACCAATTTTGTAGATTTTCAATACCAAACTGACCGCACAATAATGAATGTTTTGGGTGAATTCCATTGCTTTGTTTTTACGTGAGCGTGTTGTACACAGACAGATGGACATAGCTAAATCGACTCAGATTTTCACAAGGACCCAGAATATATGTATGTATATACATACTTTGTTGGGTCTCAGAAGAATATTTCTTGGTGTTACAAATGGAATGACAAAGTTATCACCACTGATGGTGGTGGAAGGTATAAAAAATGTATTTTGGGCAAATTTATTACTCTATCAAATTTTAACGGGAAAAATATATGTATATGATAGACAATTTTAAACTGCATAGTTAGATTCAAAAACACCAAATCTACATAAAAGGGAAGGAAACTTTCTTAAAAACAGGTTTATAATGGTATAGTTTCATATATCTAGACCCTACTGTAACTTCAAAAATAGCTATTACAGATCTTTTTAAATATATTCTTTGAATTAGGAGACACAATTCTATAAAAAATGAGCTTTAAATAATTTTGTTCAGCTAGCAGCAGTTTTAATTTTTAATAGGAATAAAACTCGTATGGTGCGGGAATGTTGTGTTTCTTATTATTTTTTATGGACTTTTTGATTAGGGGGTGTCATCACACTAATGTATGTATATAGACATTTCCACCGAAAATTCTGCTTTTGTCACATCATGAAAATTAAAAGCTTGAACAAAACCTTTCTTAGATTGTCGAGGTCAACATTTTCGCTAACAAAATCTCGGCTCTAAGTATGAAAATGAATATGTAGGACCATAGACGTATGTGTGATTTTTGACTTTGTAAACGTAATGGTGAGATATAAATGTTAATACATCGAAATATTCCAAATTTCGTTTAGTTATGATCTTTTGTATAGATTATTATTCAATTTAATTTAAACAAATCCCTCGTTTTTAAATAATATTAATTACAGCTTACTTGTTGTAGTGTATGTATGTCTTCGCCTATTTCTTTCAATTAATTCGGCATCACCCAAACAATCTCCAGGACCACAAATCTTTTCTATTCGATTTACCCAACAATTTTGTATCTAAATTTAAGAGAAAACACAAAAATAAAACAAATTTAAATTTTGTCTGCTTAACCCATTGACTTACGTGATCAAAAACATTTTTGCTGACTTCAACTTCGCCTGTAAGAATAAAATATACCATCATTGGCCAGTCACCTTCTTTAATTAGTGTTCTTCCAGGGCCAATTACCATAAATTTTACACATTTAGCTAATCGAGCACGAACTTTCTGTGTGATAAAGGAATTATTATGAATTAATACTAAAGAACTAAAAATATAACAAGTATGAATGTATAGTCGGGCATGACCGACCATATGGTACCCTACACCAGTGATTATGTGAAAAATGTTGATTATTTTTTTTAATTTGTTTTTTACCTAAATTCCAAAATATTATTACAATTTGTTGACAAAAAAAAAAAAGAGATTTTCTACAAGAGGGTTTATATGTGGGTAAGGGTAAATATGGGCCTATCTTAATAAATATTGGTAGAGGAATTTATGTCTACATTAATGTTATTTGTGCAGAATTTCATCGTTTTATTAGTGTTTGTTACTGAATTTTGACCTTCAAATCATTTTCCCAAGGGGAGTTTGTATGGCTAGGCGAAATAGTGGACAAATTTTAACCATCAATAAGCGTTGTCCATGGGTCAAAAGAAAGGTATGTGTCAATAATAATAAATCGACTAAGAAAGTGATTCTATATATAGATTGGTATACTTTAAAGTATACTTCAAGGTACAGGACAAATATTTTTTGATGATACAAACATCAGCACAAACCCCTTTATATTGGTGTAGGGTACAAAAATATTTATAAATACAACCGGTGGAATTTTGTTGAAACAATTTAGACCAGACATCAAAGACACTAATTGTTTTCGTTCATCAACAGTGCGTATTGCATGATGCGTTCTAATCAACGATTTTTCCTAAAAAAGAGGGGTTTTTTAATGTTCGTTAAGAAGTGAAATTTTTAGTAATACATAATTTAAACTTACTGCCATTGTGAGTAGACCTATTTTACGCTGGGTCCTCACAAGCATAGCAATATTTTTTTTGACATTTAATGATAATTTTTGTTCAGCAGCATCCACCAGCCATATCCGATTTAACGAGACACTTCGTATTAAACTTCGAAATCGCGATCGTGCCATTTTTCTTTTCTTGCCTTCTTCCGCATCACGTGTCCTTTTAACCATTTTAAATTAATTTATTTTTAAATATTTTTTCACAAAAGTTTAACTGAATTTTTAATTTTCTTTCGCCAGTGAAACAGTTTATTTTTTATTTTTAAGACATAAAAAGTTTTTGAAATGCCAGTTAATTACAAATTCAAACTTTTTCGTTTTAAAATTGAGGTACAGGGCGAATCCTGTACTTACATTTTTATGATTAAATTTTAACTGAATTTTTAAACAATATCCTGTATTTCAAATATGTTAAAATTGGAATATACATATGGGGACAACATAATGCAACGTTAGAATTTTCAAAATATATACACCCAGACAAAAATTTCAACCAAATTTGGAAAAAATGGAAAATTTGCTTGGATTCCCTTGAGTTGTATACAAATATTTCTTTCAAGTTTTTCACACATACTAATTAATGGTCAAAGTTCGTTTGAAATTGCTTCTGTGACGTGGCTGCAGGCAATTTTAATGCAAGTTTACTTTTCAAGATGTCATTGTCATTATAGGTACATAATTATTAATTTTGTTCACAAAATTATTTTATTTAAATCTATTTTTTTTAATAAAGAATACAAATAAATTGTCTTTTGAAGAAAAATAAATCGCAATGATTGAAACTAAATTTCCTATTAAAATAGTTTATTGTTTCTCCTTAAAATTTTATGAATGTTTGATGGTGTATTTTCCGTTTCTGTTAGAATTGGTTTATTATAGAATCTATACGCCATATAACATTCCCTCGAAATTTACACTCAAAATATCATCAGAAAATAATTCATTTTTGTGAAATATAATTTGGTATACATCTAACAAATGTTAAAAAGGCCTAGTTAGCAGTAAAAAGTTCTAATTTTTCTCCCATCATTTCTTCATTATGCACCAATGCCATAAGATATTGAGCCAAACAACTATTTGTATCATTCGGCTGATGAATATGAAGATGAGCAAATGCACATCTCAATGTAGTTCCCATGGAATCTCGAATTTCTTTGGCAATGGAGTCGACGATTTCTGTTGATTTTCCCTGAGGTACCCATTCATATTCATTCAAATGGCACACTTGAGATTTGCATACTCTGAGCAAACGAAAGAATGGATCCAGAACACTCTCACACTTTCTTATATAGGATAACTCTTTGGCGAACTGTTTATTTATTTCGTTTAAGTCTTTTTCGCAATTCTTTATGATTTCTGCATCATTAGCCTGAACTGCAAAAGACTTCAAATGGTTGATGGTTTTCTGGTGAAAATGTTTCAGTCTCATTTTTTCAACCTGTAATTGTTCAAAACACTTCTTGGATTCCTCAATAATTTCTTCTCGTTTCTTTTGCAAATTTTCAATGCGCTTGTTGAAACTTTCTGTTATAGCGTCAATATTTTCAACATTCCTTTGAAACTCATCAAGCCTTTCATCCGATGCACAAGCCAATTTACGCAATTCAGAACAGTGAAAAACAACATTGTCTATTGACTGTTTGAACTCTTTTTGAATATTCCTTAATTCGATATTAATGCTTTGGTAGTCATTATCGAAACATGTTAAGTAATTCAGTAGCTCCCTTATACATTTCTTGTGAGGATTAGGTAATTCTACACTGTGAGCTGTTAGCATTTTGAAGAGGAATATTCCAAGAAATTGTTTTGTAAAAAATATATCAAATCTGTTATCTAACAAAAATGAATTGTTTAATTTAAGTTTTTTTTTCTACTTGAGTAATTTGTCAATGAATAATTTTAACAATTTTTAAATATTTGTTTTGTGATATCTACCGAACAAAAAGATTTTTTAATTTAAAATTCGCAAGGCATAGAAATTATTCTTTTACATTGAGAAAGTGTTTGCAAATTTCAGTAAATAAATAAAATGATTACTATAAGTTGTGTGAAACACTGTGAAATTAAGATTTTAAATTGTGTTAATTTTAAGTTATTTGTTTAACATGTAAAAACTGAGTTTTAAACCCATCAATTAAGTATTAAACAGGCGATAGAGTTTATTCCGAACGGGGTCACTTTTCTTTCTCTCATATGCGACAACACTATAAAGCAATTTTCGCTAGGACCATTAGGTGAAAAGTTACACTAATTTGAATAAAACCCTGTATGACCAAAATGTCCAACTTTGACCCCCTCTAAGTCCGGTTTATAATCAGCGGAGTCGATTAAGACATGACCATCTGTCTGTCTGTCCGTCTGTATGTTTGTTGAAATCAGTTTTTATAGACCCCAGATATCCGAAAATCGGTCCACAAATACCGGAGATATAAGCAAAAATCCGAGACAACCTCTGAAAATTTCATACAAAATTGAGGTTTTTCGTGCATTCTGAGTCAGAAATTATAAACAAATAACAACAACACACTTAATCAAAATAATTTTTGTTTTTGTACTTACTTGCATAGAGAAACATAGAGAGGAAACCTGTCAAAATTTTTTTGAAAACATAAAGTAGGCTGTTCACACATATGGGTACTGTGTATTCAACATACCACCTGTTAGATTTCCCCACAGTCATTTGTCAAATTAAATGTAAATAAATAAAATATTTTTAGTTTTATATAAAAAATTCAAAATTATGTATGTATGTTCCCGTACTCGTCTGGATTTCCATTTTTTGACTTGTCCCGGTTATTGCAGTGGTCCCTTCGGGATGGCTGTGGTTTAAACAAAAAATTACGGGTTAAATCTATATTTCTGGATAAGTTCGGTGCTGTGGCCTTATACGACCACTGGGTAAGCTTGTTAGACGACTCACCATCACCACTTTGTGCTCCTTAAACTTTGCTCATGTACTCGAGCTACCTAATCTCTGACCATTGCTTAACTACAGAGATGCAAAAACATCACTTCAGTTTTCAACAACGAATGTGTGATTGGGCAATAGCACCTAGAGACGTAATCAGTGGATACACTGTGGTCTGGTATGGACAGAGTAAACCCTAAATATACCCTGACATGGAAGGCGTACATACCAAATGGAACACTCCAATAACCGGGACAAGACAAAGGTGGAAACTCAGCCCCGTGGTATCAAATTATAAGGCTGCCTGGTTCGGCTCCTGTTCAAATAATTTTAAGGAATGCCCGATTATACATTTAGCATCGCCAGTTTATAATCCCGGCAAACCGGATTGCAATAACATCAAGATAGGGAAGAGTTAGTGTCAAAGAAATAATTTACTATTTTAAAACTCTAAATCGAATTTAAACTTTAAATCAGTTTCTCTTTTTAAAGAACCGTAAATGTTTAATATTAAATAAAATTAATAACATTTTTTAAACGTTTGATTTTGTGTTTGTTGGGTTATTTCAAATATGGGGAATATACTAATACTACCATAAGTATTTCTACTACTACCATGGCATAATGATTTACAGGTAGTCCCAATTCTACAACAAATACAACTAAGCAAAAACAACATTGAATTTGTTTTTGTAAAAATATTTTCTAACTGTCAAATGGAAAAATAAATAAAATAAAAAAAATAATTTTTTTTCAATATTTAAATGAAAATAATGAAATTTGCATGTAATTGCAAATACAAAATGTATGTTTCGGTCATTAGTAGGTCGCCTATGGAATGATGACGTTCTTTGGTGTTTGCACAAACATTCCTTGCTGAAGCTCTTCAATTTTTTAGGTGCAAGAGGGTGAGCGGATAGCTTCATAGGGAGTCATATAGCAAGTTCGCATGGCCATCGGCTCAGTTGAAGCAAGTTCGAGGTACTTGAGAACTCGAGAAGCATTACGGATTTACATTGATCTTTTAATATTCGTGAAGATATTGGGGGATAATCCATAATGGATGAGGTTAATTTCTTAAAGAATTGCGCAGCCAACCTTTTATAGATTAATAACAATTATTTAAATTCTGATAATTTTAGTTTTTGAGGTTGCGATTGAGTTGCGTTCCTTGCCTGCACGCCTTGAACCACGTACTAAAGTTTTCTCTGCATCTTAATTTTGTTCGAGGTTTTCTGTGCCGATTTTTCGATTTTTTTGGTCCCGAGGATTTTGAAGAGCTGCGACAAGGAGTATTTGTACAATTATCTACACTTTAGTAATTGTTTTTACACATTTTAATATATAAAAACGAATGTGGTGTAAAAAACACACATTTTTTTAAATTTTTATTTGTAAATAAAACCGAAAAATAAAAATAAAATAACAAATGTAAATAAACTTTGACAGTTAGGAACAAAACAAATCGAACAAAAAATTATCAGCTGTCTTATTGACTTCACCTGTAAATTAATACATCTTGACTACTACATTCAATCGACTCAGGTTTTTGACAACAGACTTAGGTCCTTGACAGCAGAGTTTCCGCTCTATATCTTACTTGTTTATAAAAACAAAGCAACCCAATAAACCAAAGAACGATATGATAGAGAAAACGGTATTAAGGCCCAAATAGACTATACAAGTGGCTTATCAAACATACTTTTTTCATTCGCACACACTCTACACAAACATTGCTCGTACAAACACCGATTTTTTCACGTTTTTGTGGACTTTCAAAGATACAGATCTCAATTTTTCTTAGAAATGAAAATTTTTTGAACAATTTTTTATTAATGAATATAAACCATACAAATGGTTTGACAAAAATTTAATATGTTTGTGTAAAAATCAAAATTTTTTTAACTTTTGTACAAACAAACAGCAAGCATTTGTACAAACACGAAACACCCTCATACACTACACAACAGGCTTCCACAAACATAAAATATTGGTATGTTTGTCAAGCCGCTTGTGTAGTCTATTTGGGCCTTTACTTTATAAAGGCGATTATAAACTTCAAACATTAAAATAGTTTACAAAAATTAAAAATTTCAAACAACAAAGGAAAGCTGAGAAGAAAATTGAAATAATATCAATTAAAATATCAATAAATACGCGATCTTCATACGAGAACGACTATCACTTCCCAATAAACTAATCGATATCGAAACGATATCTCTTACATAGGTGATAAAAAATATCATAAGTGATAGTCGTTTTCGTATCGAGAAAGATAGTATATTCGCACTAAATGGTACCTTTCTTCATGATATCGTTTTTCCATAAAATTACGAAAATTCGGACCTTTAAATACAGTAATTCCTTGCAAACACCATGGATAACAGAACAAAAACACATATCATCGTTTGCGTAGAACTTTAATCAAATTTGAAAATGCTTATAAGATAGCAACCTAGAAAATATTAAATTACTCAAAACGCGCAGAAATGCGTTTAGGTTATTCATTTCTTCCCAATAAACCAAACGATATTATAACGATATCGAAACGATATCACTTAGGTGATAAAAAATATCATAAGTGATACTCGTTCTCGTATCGAGAACGATAGTATTTACGTACTAAATGGTACCTTTCCTTATGATATCGTTTTTCCATAAAATTATGATATCGTTTTCGCTATCATAATTTCCAAAAATAATGATAGTTAAATCGCCTTTTTCCGTTTTTTTTTCTGTATGCTCTTTTATTCTTAAAATTTCATTTAAAACGCTATTTAACTTAATATTTCGCTATTATACATATAAAAAAGCCTGAAAAGGGAAGGATTGCATTCATTTGTACATATTTACATACATACATACATTAATACATATTTTAAAGTAATCATATTTTTCATCACATTATGCATTGTCTTGCAAATACCTGAAACTTTTCAAAATTGCATACATGTCAACTTACCACAAAACTGAAGTATCGAACGAAATTCGCGTATTTATTTGGAATATTTATCAATAATTTAGTTGATTTTATTTTAATATCCTTTTTAGTTTTCTTATGTTACAAAATTTTTATTGAAATTATTTTTATGTTTGAAGTTTTTTTCAAATGTTTGTATTTTCTTAATTTTTTTATTGGAAACAAAATAATATAAAACGATATTATAATAATATCGTTTTAAATAATGAAATATGATATCATAATCGCCCTTTAAAAGCAATACCGTTTTCGCTATCATATCGTTCTTTGGTTTATTGGGTTCTTATTTCAGGTTTAACAAACGTTAACATTTTCTTAAAAGCTTAAAAGTTAAAATTTTAAAATCAAATTAAATTTTTTCAAGGTTATTTTAAATATTGTCTTTTTCGAAGTAATTTGACTTAAATAATAATAACGTTAATAAAGGTAATAGACACATTTATTACAAAAGCCCAAAAAATAACATTTTTATACTCTACACCACTTTAGTGGGGGCCTTTTGGTCATAATTATGTTAAATATAACTGTATAAAAAGCGGCACAAATAAGTTTCATACACTCATTGATGACCTTGCCAAATTTCATATAGATCGGGCCTCATTTAACCCCAGCTGCCATACAAAGTCCCCTTCAGAAAATTACTTGAAATAAATATAAATCTAATCACAAAATTGTATCGGGAAAGGTCCATGTTTGCCCTTAGCCCCCATATAAACCTTCTTTAAAAAAATTGTTTTTCGTCCATAAATTGCTTAAATGTATCGTAAACAAGGTTATTTTGAAGATAAATATGTTATTATGAAAAATAAATCATAATTAATATTTATAACTTAATATTATCATATGGCCGGCTACGGCCGACTTACCTGTTTATCTTATAAAAATGTAAGTGTTAAATGGCTGCCTATACCGAATATGGGACAGTGCTGACAGAAAAACTGTGACAACTTTAATTGTGGTACCTGCGTCTAAAATAAATTAACGGTTTTA